CATGTGCATCCTGCTGGGTTAGAAACACCAGTGGCTCAGTTTCAAAACTCGCATCAACAGGTCACCACGGTAGGACAAACCGACAGACAAGTTTGCCTCCCTGTTGGAAACCTCTCCTACCACCCTTACCTGGGTCCCTGTGGCTGACTCCTCCTCTGTCCAGATTCCTGGGCCTTTTAATCCCCTTTTTCCTACTCTCCCACACTGCTGCTTTGGGTGTGCCTGGATTCCCTCTCCTCACCTGGATCCCTGGGGCTGACTGCTCCTCTGTCTGGGTTCCTGGCTTTTAATCCCCTTTCTCCCACTCTCCCGCCCTGCTGCTTTGGGTGTGCCTGAGTTCCTCTCCTCACCTGGATCCCTACGGCTGCGGCTTTTCATTTGGAGAAAAAAAAAGGGGGGGGACCAGGTTTGCTGGTCCGATTGAGCCTGGTGGAACCGCTGAGACTATGGCCCCTGGCTGCCCTTCAGGTCTGGAATTGAACCCACACCTGTGGTTTACAGCCAAACAAAAGACAGGCATATGAGTTGAACATTTACCTGAGGTAGATACACTCCTTGGAGAGAACAATCATGGGATAAAGAAGAGCTGCTTATGCATAGGAAGACAGCTCAGGGGGCAGGAGGGCATGAAGTGATGGATGCTGGGAAGAGGTAACTACAGGGAAGAAGTGGGAGGAGAGCTGTTGCATTGTGGTAAACTGTGGTCAATGTCATGAGACAAAGTATATGTGAACTGCTGTATGGAAAGGGCATTTGCTCTGTAAATCTTCACCCAAATCACAATAAAAAAATAATAATAATAAATAAAACACTGTCTGAGCTTTTTTCTATACTATACACACTGAAAGATCCCATTTTATAAAGGCAGCAAAATTTTAAGATATTTTCATTCCATTTGACCAGATAAACTCCTCAGCACTGGCTCTCTAATCTCTCTTTTATTTCTGCTACATCTATCCTACAGTTTCTAGTTAATGCTCAGAAAAAAACAAACTCACTGCCACTGAGTCAACTCTACTCACACTGACCCTACAGGACAGAGCAGAACTGTCCCATAAGGTTTCCAATGTGCCTGGTATTTTTCCCACACAGTGGCCGGTCAGTTTGGAATACTGACCTTTTCGATTAGCAGCCCAATGCTTTAACCACAGCACCACCAGAGTTCAAGGTCTCCCAAATCCATCTTTTTTTCCTTATCTCCATGAATATTTCTCTGCATCCATCCCAAAATACCCTACCACTGATGTTCCTCTCCTACATCCTGCCCTCCCACAATCTCTTCATCAGCTCTTCTGTTCCTTCTTCGGCCTGGTGAGCTCATACTCATAGGCTCCTCCATCAGACATTCTGACACTTCTTTACCCTGTAGTCTTCCTCCTCCACCTGCATCCCACTGCTTCTCCCAGGAATGGCTCACCCTTACCAGTGGGTACTCTTATGTTTATTTATTTATTTATTTATTATTATTATTATTTTTTTTTTTAATTAGGATTTGGGTGAAGATTTACAGAGTAAATTCACTTTT